CCCCCCCCCGGTGATTGCCATCGGGATTGGGTTTCGTCGCTTGGCAACGACGTTGTTGAACAAGCCAATTCACTTGGTGAACTCGGCAACCAGGTTGTTATCGTTTCTTTTTTACACCTGTTTTTTTTGGGGGGCGGTAACCATAGTGGGGGTCGAGTAGATCATGTTGTGCGGGGTCGAGAACCCTCATTCCGCGCAAGGGGGATGATCGCACCACGTTGTGTTAAAATGGTCAAGCATCCTCGAGGCAGTTACAGAGTGCTTACAACTGTCTCTGAAAGTGCAGAACCAGAAAATATATTAAGCCATACGCAGCTGGAATCCGTACGCAAGGAAGTAGTCTAAGCACAAGATGCCGAATACCCTTAGCAGGATGCAGCGCACCCTTCATGCGACTTGCCAAATACCTCACGGCGCTTCGCGCTTGGTGGTGTGAGAGCCTGGTCCGGTGAAAACCCGGCGTGATCCGTCCCGGCTTTGTAGGGATGCGAGGTCAGTGGTCAACGACTACGGCATGCACGACTATGAGTACCCCCCCCAGCCCCCCCTTGTGACTGAAGAGCTGCGATCCGGATTTTGGTCAGAAGAATTCCCCTTGAGGTAATGGCTTCATCCTTTTACGGTAACAGGCTCCTCCGTTTCCCTCGCAATGTGCATCTACGCCTTTCAAGACAACGGGTGAATTGCACGGCTACAGATTTCTCGGTGAGGCTGGAATTTACTACGGTGTGGTGCAACTGCTGCAAAACACGTCGCGCCTGTCCTGGACATGGCATCATGATCCCTGCCGTTGTTTCTTCCACAGAAAGTCGCGAATTCGACAGAGGTTGAACGCCAATAATACAGCTTCTGGTGCAACACACCATTTCTAAGGCAAGAGGCACATAACGGTTCAGTACAATGAGCAACTCTACAAATTACAATGAGCCCTCCACAACACAGGTTTGCGCGACGATGGCCAAAGTACTGTCGCTCCAATGCACATACTACCCTACCGTTCAGACGTGTATGGCTTTTCACAAAAACCCATAAAAACAAAAAAACATGGATGATGGAAATCTGGAAAATCACAAGCACATAAGCCAGTGAACATGCAGCGACGCGAAGTAGCTACACCCGAGGCGAAGCTACTAAAAAAGACAG